GTAGATTTGTGCAAATGAGACATATGCGATATAGTTTTTTGGAATAAAGAATTCATTATTAGAAAACTAATATTTTCACTATTATTTAAACAACGTTATTGTCGTACAAAATACGCAAAGCACTTCGGATATGCGTTTATCGATATGTTTGAACTATTTTTTTCAGTAAGAAAATTACGCATATTAATATTTTTAAAATACTCTCGATGTCTCTTCCAAGATTTCGCAATAATTACTTGAGGAAGAAAGCACTCGGCGCTCACGTGATTAAGAAGGAGGAAATCCGTCGGAGATGTTTATTCCCATTCGTCGGCGCTAATCGAGTCTCAAATGCGTTGTTTCTTTTATCGCGAACGATTATGCACGATCCACATGTATATGTCTTGTACGTTAATAATAGAGTAGACTTCATGTGTGAAAATATACGCGCGCAGTCTTTTAGCATGCGCGGATTACTTACGCGATGCACTCAGCGCGAAATAAAGCAATAAGCAAATAAAATCGCGGGTACGCCACAGCACAATAGAAACTCCGGCTTTTCCGCCTCCTCTCCTTCCCGCTCACCGCCTTAGCAGCCCTTCCATCTCGCTCCCGTACACGAGGATCATAAAGTGCGCGGCAGCGCTTTGCGAAAGTTTTATTATTCCCATTTTTACGATCCGTCCGGCTGACTCTCTCGGCTGCAGCTACCACTAGCGACTATACTCTTCGCATCCTGTGCATTCGTCACAGCGCCTGCAAGTTTCGCATGCAGTCCTTGGCCCAGTAACAATGTCAAAGAGCACGATTGCTTAGCTGCACTAGCACGTTTAATATCTCTAATCTAATTTGCTTACGAAAAGATCTACATCTGTCTGCGCTCGTATGAAATAATCATTACAAATAATTATTAAAATATTTATTTATGTATTCATTGATATTATATTTATTCACGTTATCAGTATTTATGTTCAAAGTACTGCGCTTGTTCGTATTTGAATTTTATAAGATAAGAAACAAAACTACAACATCTTTTACACGTGTTTAAAATGATATTTTCTTTTTAATTACTCTGTTAAAATTTGTGCAACCTTTCGTTTGTAAATCACAATCACAATCAGCGCAAAGACCACCATAATAATAACGTGAACGATTTGACCGCGACGTGGACGACGACGGCAACATGCTGGCACTAATTGCAGCGGCGCATAATTGCTCGATAAACATCCTGTTAATCTCACTTTTATGCGCCATACATTGTACCGAGGTAATGCTTCTAGCACGCAAGTCCCCCTCATTTCCTCCCTTTTTCTCTGTCTTTCTCCCTTGCTCTTTCTCTTTCACATAATACGACTTGAGAACACGTCATGATTTTCACTGGCGCGTATACGCGGTGCATCCGTTACGGAAGCCATGTTGGCGAGATGCTTTATAAAATACATTTCGCCGTTTGACAGTGGAAATAACGTTTATCGTCGTGACTTATGAAAAACAAATTCGCGAGCGTTAATTTACGCAGAGCTTTTGTCGTGCATCAGGCAGAAATAATACCGGAAAATGTGCACAATCTAAAAGATTAATTTTCGCTCGACCTACAATCAAAAATCGAAATCGTTATAATTTCGTTGAGTTTATTCTTTGATATTACAAAGATATTAAAATATATTTCGTATCAATTGTCGATTTTTTATGTACATATATCGCCGCAGATAAAAATAAAGATCACGCTTGAGCGTTTGTAGCATCAAAATCTCAAGATTGCATTGGTTTTAAAAATTGCTTGAAATTTTTTCGAGGTGATAATACATTCTTATGAAGAAACATAATATTAAGAGCATGATTAAGTTAAAAAAAAATTAAAAATTGATCGCTTTGCATAACTTTAGTGGTTAGATTATTCGAACATTTTTAGAGCATTTTATTGATCCGTAGATTAATGATAATGTGCAAAATAAAAAATTGCTTCATAATACATTAATCATAGAAGAAATTACATAAACCTAGTGACTATGTGTGCCGCAGTAGGAAAAAGTTGGAAGATAAAGGAAAACTATCCTATCTTTAAGAGGAAAGAAGGTGCTCGAGTTACTTTAACATCTTGATAAAGTTCGCGGTAACATCTTGAGAATATTTTTAAAACTTTACCGAAATTCTATGCGAGAAAACCGAGCGAATTCTGACTGCTGTCCGCACATAGAACAGGGTCCATTTTGACGTTGAAATTTCGTTTGATCATTACGAACGCGTAATTTGATGCGTATGTTTTGTATAATGAATGCTTCATCATGAGCAATTAACTGCACTTTACATTCGCAAAGAAACTTTATACTGATAAAATCTATTTCAATGTGCAATGTTGCTGCATAATTATATTAATGGGACTGGCTAATATTGGAAGTATCGATAATTGGATAGCTTTATGGCGTAGTGAATAATGCGCGGAACTCGTAACATTGAATTATTGTTGCGGCTGAGAAAAAAAAAGAATCGATTATCTCTCAGGCTTATGAGAACTATTAAGATGCAGAATTAACTAGAAAAATAACATACGAGTTTTCTACAGTTCATTTTAGACAATCTATAATTTTGAGAAAATTCGGGATGAAATTCTACAGTTCTAGTTTTAATGCAAAAAAAAAGTAAATGCAGAATGTATGCACAAAATATTCGATTCTTCGGATGCCTATTGCAAAAAATTATAAGTGAATTTCTCGAATTATATGCAGATTATCTAAACTACGAGTGTAACTGAATGATCGGGAAAAATGTTCTATGGTTCAACATTGTACGACTTTGAGGAGAGTTAATGTTATTCATGATTAGTCGACATTTAACAATCACCGTGTTTCCTGGAATGAAACCTAATTCATTTTGCGCTTATGCTTCATCCTTTCTGTGAGACGTTAGAAATACGTGATACAGAGATTGAGATGCAGCGGGCATATGATCGTGGATCGTGACATCAACCCTGAGATGGAAACCACTTTGTGCAAAGCCGATCGCGGACGTCGTCATCTCGCATCAAAGTGAAAACGCGGAGTAAAGAGTGGCGCATGAACACGCTCGTAAAGACGGGACGAACACAGATAAGCCCCAAGCCCGGGGCTACGTGCCTCGCAGACGAACGTGGCCGCGCGGCCGGGAAAAAGAGGGATGGATGTTTCGCGATGGTTCTCGAGTTACCCCCGCGAGAGGGGTGGGGGGGGGCGGGAGGGGGA